AATAACAATGGGTTCTGGATCTGAGGACTGGGTTTATTGGCACTTCTTTACAGCTACAATTAAGTACGACGGTTCGCAATCAATGACTATAAGACTCGCTCCATTCCTTATTGGATCACGAGTGTCTTCTCTTCCACTGTGACGAATGACGAACGAATAATTCCTGCTCACACCTTGAATTGCCTTGCTCGACATCTGTCTGACGAAATAATTTGAAGAGTCTCCACTGCTCCTTATATAGGCTAGCTCGTATCCATAGAAATCCATGTAGAATGATTCGTTGTCATGAAAACGTGTTTTAACTATCCGTTGTATAGCAACGGATTATCACGTTACATTACCAACACACCAGCACAGATCTCACAGGAAAACCAGAGATATTTTCCTTGCGTTGGCCTCAACAGCAAGATATGGAAATCACGACACAAAATTGTGCTAAGCAGTTGCGCAACCATCAGAGCCGATTACCAAACTGTTGACTGTTTCTGATGTAACAGTTTCTTCCAGGAAACTATCCCATGGACGTACTTCAAGCTACTATGAGTGCACTCTGAGACGTATTTTAAATTTAGAAACCTAAATCTGCTGAAAAAGTGTTACTTAATTGAAAATTTTGTTTAGTGCATCGCTTAAAACGGCCAAACTCATATAATCTGAATTGTGTCATCGGTTTAACCTGGAACTATACAGAACTATCTGATCTACCGTTGCTTAATTCACCAACTTAATTAGGAGACGTCATCATATTGATCTTAACGATATTAACAAGAGGCAATAAAACTGCAAGAAAATTAACTAATCCATTACAAATTTAGCTTTCGCCGTTTGTGAATTCCCAAAAATTGCTGTTTATTTTTGGAAATATAAAATTCAGTATCTCAGAAACTATGACAGACATATAGAGTACACGAAGTTTTCTCTTTTTGTTTTTTCTAGGCTATAGGAAAAGCAAAATATATATATATATCGATTTGCTAGAACGAATGGTAAAAGTAAGTAAAGTAAAGTTGTACCTCTGCTTAACTTATTAAGCACTAAGCTACGAAGACGTATGGGAGAGTGAGAGTAGAGGTTCAACTCCACACATTCCTTAACCCTGGCCATTGGAACAAGTTCCCATATCTAGTAAGCTTCCTAGTTTCCAGAGAAGGACTCGATATTGTATCCTCAGATAATCGAATTCCAGTCGACCAAGTGCTCAGACGGCGAACTCCTGAAGTAATCAGGCCATTGCGCTACTCCAATGCACGAATTCTTGGTGTAGCACAAGCACAATGTCAAAGTAACCCCTTCCTGTTGTGCACTTGTGATCTGGAAATGCAAATGGCTGTGTGTCCTTGTTTTGAGTTCATCTATAAAAAAGAATGTGGGCGTGTGTTTTTTGTTTTTATACATTTCCACATGTTGCACCTATTTCGACTAAATTTAGCATGATGTAGGGGGCCTACCTGGAGGGGTTTCATACACTTCAGAAACCTTGCAAAAATATGGATATACCTGAAGATTTTTTTTTTGTTTATTACTCTAGCGCCATCCGTTCTAGCAAAGTGTTTTTTCCCTGTGTTCCATGAATCTTGAGGGAAAGAAAAACTTTCGTACTCAAATCGTTAGAGTCTGAGATATTCTCCTGTACTTGATCATTCTAATTATATCTTGAGAGGAGTACAAGTCATGACGCTCCTCATTATGCAGTTTTCTCAAACCCCCTACCATTTAATCTCTCCTTCGGTCCAAATGTTCTCCTCAACACCCTGTTCTCAAATTCCCTCAGTCTATGTTCCTCCCTTAATGCTCCTATCCACATATTAATATTTCCTGTGGTCTCCTTCCTTCTGGTATTCGGAATTCGACATTTTAGGCATTTCTCATCAAGGCAAGCCCACGCGCAGCTTACAAACTGATTATCTCGCGACTCACAACCTTAACCTGATGCTCAACGTGCCCCAAAATGAGCAGTAGAATAGGGAGGGTCAGCCAATTCAACCAGGCACTTTTTTATTGCTAGTGGGGTGGGACTAAGTCCCTTGTACTGCGGCCACTTCTGGCTTATTGTACCAACCCCAGATGATAGGTGAGGGTGACTGTGGAGCAATTGGTGGAATGAAGATTGGCAGGGGAAACCGAAGTACTCGGAGAAAACCTGCCCCAGCGCCACTTTATCCACCACAAATCCCACTTGACCAGACCCGGGATCGAACCCGGGCCGCCGCGGTGGGAAGCCAGCGACTAACCTCTTGAGCTATGGCGCGGCCATTAAACAGTCACTTGCCTCGCCTTCTTTTCGACGACAGCGGGTGAGTGGGAGTTCGGTCCGAGAGAGAGAGAGTTACACGGTTCAGGTATTGCGAAACGTCAGTACTTCAAAGTCGGCAATGCTGAGTAGATCCAACCATTATGCTACCGCTTAACATAATCAGTATGTGCAGAACATGGTGCCTGGTCAGTTTGTCTTCCATAGACAAAAAAAAAAACACACACACACACACGGTACACCAGGTTCAATATAGCTACGCCGGCGGGTGACGTCAGATATACGCTGACGACCAAAGAAATGGGGAAATTACAAACGTACATACGTGACGTGCGTATGTAAACTTCTCCTTGTGTTTAATTAATTAAGCACAAATCTATGAAAACGTATGATGGAATGGAGGTATAACTCAATTCTTGACCTCGGCACTAGAGGGAGATCACTGGTCAGCTTCACGCCCCTGCTGCTTGACCCTCGGTAAAGGTAAAACTGGTCTCTTTTGAATCCCAGACCGTGAACAATTCTATAGAATTATTTTGATAACACCGGAGGCTTATTTTTCGTGAAGACGATTTATAAATCATCAGTAGCCACCTCAAAGGTCTAAATTAATAGTCTGAAGGAAAAACCAACAACAAAACATCCAAACAAAATGTGTCTGCATTTCAAAATACACACCTTATAAACTAATTGTAAGGTAAAGGTAAATTTGTTCCTGTGCTTAATCAGTTTGCCACTATGACATGAAGGCGTATGGGGGAGCGTACAACTCCATCATTCTTGATCTCGGCACTAAATGGAGATAATTAGTTTCAAGCCTCGGCCGCTTTACCCCAGGTGAAATCGTCCACGGTACCCATTCCATACGAGGCTGAATCTTGCCCCTGCCTGGAATCGAACCTTAGCCTTCCAGCTCGTAGCTCGTACTTAAAGACTGAGCTATCCAGGCTCGAGCTACCTGTAAGACTGAATTTTAGATTATTAATAATAATGATACTGACTTACTGAACCGCGCTGTTAAAAAAATCACACACGGCGATACGTAAAAAAATTAGCGGCAAGGTCTGAATACTCAAACGGAACTAAAAAAAAACCTCCGTGGTTTTAGTCCGCAAGCGAACCATACCGACCGAGCGACCGCCGTTTGTCGTCGAAGTTCAGTGCAACCTTTTGCGGATGGAGGGTGTCGCGTGGTCAGCGCAACGAATCCCCACTGCCGTTAATTTCGGTTTTCTAGACCGCAGCCGCTGTTTCCTTGAAATAGCTCCTCAATTATCCTCACGAGGCTGAGTGGACTCCGTTCGAGACCCACTACTTCTCAGAAAAAATCTGGTAGCGCCGGGAATCGAACCCGGACCTCTGGATCTGTAGCCAGGAACTCTGACCATTAGACGACAGAGGCGGTCCAAACGGAACTAAACTGAACTTTATTCTCTACATCTGTTAGGGACAGTCTTTACACAGACACACACCTCGAGTGAACGCACCACTCAAAGGAAAAACCACCAACAAAAGCAGTTCACTTTCAGGACACACGAACCCTTTACGGGCTGACATGAATTCGTACCTCACAGGGAAGACATTCCTCTGCCACAAAGACCAACCAGTTCGGAAAATAGTCGCTGTTTACTGTGAGAACCATACAAAACACACAACTTACTCGCACACTCTGTGGCTGAATGCAGGGTTTTCATACGTTAAAGCAGGTGGTACATACTGAGCTTTTAAAGGGTTATTCTGTGGAAAGTTAAGTGTCGAAAACTAACGGTGTAACTCCTGCCATGTAACATTCTTTGGTATATGCGCAAGTCACCACGATCATCGCCGGCAACATCCCAACATAAATACAAGAAGTTCTGGGAAGAACTTATCACCTACTATCCTTGATACGACGCATACAAAACGACGTGTCCAACAATTTTTCTATTGCTGCGTGTGTATTCGTTGCCGCGGTAATGTTTTCACCGAGCCGTTGCGCAGCAGCGATCCTTGGGATACACAAGCATAGACAGAGACTGATGGGAGTGATTTATGAAGCACTACGTTAAGATGGGCTTGCCATGCTATACATACCAAGTTTCATAAAAATTGGTTCAGGCATTCGAAAGTCACTAGGGAGGGATTCACAGACACACATACAGCATGGAGATAGCACAAGGCTACTATCATTTTTCAAAATAAGGAAAGTTGGCTAAAAATGGGAATATCTTCAATTTTAAATGTGGTAACTTCTGGGATATTACGGTGTGTAACCTCGCAGAAGTGTGTCGACGTTTCGGAGGAACGTGCTGCCTCCTGCTTCAAGGTCGAAGAGTGAGTGAAACTCTACTTGAAGAAAGCAGTCTTCTGGAATTTGGCACCGTGTATATGTGGTGTTAACCGACGTTTCGGAGGAACGTATCGCCTCCATCTTCAGGGTAGAAGAAAAAATATAAGAAATCTGCAAGCGATGAGACCGTTAGAACCGGTGTTCCGGTTCTCACGGTCTCTTCGCTTGCAGATTTCTTATATTTTTTCTTCTACCCTGAAGATGGAGGCGATACGTTCCTCCGAAACGTCGGTTAACACCACATATACACGGTGCCAAATTCCAGAAGACTGCTTTCTTCATAGTCACCGCCGTGAAAGCCTCAAATCTTACGAAACTCTACTTGCTTGATCTTCGACCCTGAAGATACAGACATTATGTTCTTCAGAAACGTCCGAAAACGTCTACCGGAGGACACGGCGTGCCACAAATGCCACGTACTTGAGTTTCTTGAAGTAGATGCCAGTATCCGTGGTCGTGATCTTCTTGCCATCAATAACTTTCGCCTGTTTCATCCACTTGTCGCTCTGAGAGAGGGTGACATGTCGTCCGTCGGACTTAGTGTCCCCAAACTTTGAGAAAGCTTTGAACTGGGCTTTGAAACTTGGAGCTGATTTGCCGGGGGGTGTGGCTGGGGTACTGGGTGTACTTGCGCCAGACACAGGGGTTGTACTGGGTGTCCCTGCGGCTGTGGCTGCTTTCTCTTCTGGCTTCAACTGGTTTCCTTCACCACCAACGCCACCTTGCACACCGGACCGCTCTGTAGTCGCTGTCACGTCTTCAGCCACTGTCGGGCCGTTATCAACTGCCGACATACTGGAAACAAAAATGAAAAAAATACCAAAACTGAAGTAGGCAGCAGAAATCATGCAAATATATGTAGGCATATACAGTATACAATTTTCGCCTACCATCCTTATTTTTAAGAAGTTCTTAGAAGAGCCAATTGCATACTTCCCTTTGAAAACGACATGGACCGCATAGAAAACGACGTGTCCAACAATTCTATTGTTGCGTGTGTATTCGCTGCCTCGGTAACGTTTTTACCAAGCTGTAGCCTGGCATCGATAGGGGCATATACACAGACTGAGAGGAAGGATTTTTGAAATACGCCGTTGGAATGGGTTCCGGTGCTATGATATGCAGACCAAGTTGCATAGACTGATTCAGACATTCAAAAGTTAAAACAGACACAGACAGAATGGTGAGTTCATAAGCTTATTTTTATTTTTTTTCAAAATAAGGACAGAAGGTTAAAAAACAAAAAGTATGCTTATGAGACCACCTGGGAGGATACACATACAGACAGACAGTAAGGTGGACTCATAAGCATAGTTTATTTTCAACTACCGAATGCCTCCACCGATCTTTACGAAACTTGGTATGGGTATCATGGCACCTGAGCCGATCTCATCGGTGTGCTTCATAAATCTCGCCCATCGGTCTGTGTGTCTGTATGTGTATCCCCCTATCGCTGCCAGCCAACGACTCGGTAAACATGTTCCTGCGGCACCGAATACATGTAACAGGGAAACTGTTGGAAGCGTAGTTTTCTGCGCGATCCGCGTCGTATCATATGAAAGTAGGAGATGAGTTCCTTCCAGAACTTCTTGTTGTTTAATGTAGGGGAACAGTATGCAGTACAGGCATGAGTTTTAAGGAAGAAAAGTAGTCAGGAAATGGGTTATTTTCTAGACAAGTATCGACACCATTTTGTCATAAAAAAAAGAAGTATCAATATATGTTCATTTATTTATTTATCCGTGTGTGAGGTCACTTCAATATGAGCGCATTTCAAACTAAAGTGTATGACATACACGAATAATAGATGTTTGTCGGGTTAGATAAAGTGCAAGCCTATGCTTAAGAAAGTTGCTTTATACGAGTGAAAAGTGATTTAAACACTGTCTCACAGGTGTTTTTTTTTCTACTGCCGCTATATTCACTTATGTCAATATTTTCACCCTTTCCACACAGAAAAATATGTCTGTTTCTTCAGTGAAGCTTTGAAACTTTACATATGGTTCAATCAACGATATTTTCAGCAGACCAGCTGGTGTAGTGTTGAATGTTAGATTAGCCAATAAGATGAGCTTCAGAAATATAAAAATTAGAATATACAAAACTCTAATTTTGTCTGTGGTCTTTCATAGGTGTGAAACTTGTCTCTGACATTTGCGTACGAACATAGACTAGAATGTTTAAGAACCGGGTGCTGAGGAGAATATTTGGAACGAACTGGGGTGACGTGATAGGCGACTGAAGAAAAGTGCATAATGAGGAGCTTCATAACTTATACCCTTCTCCAGGTATAATTAGAATAATCAAGCCAAGGAGGACGAGATAGGCATGCAACACGCATGGGGGGAGAAGAAGAATGCATATAGGATTTTGGTTTGAAAGCAAGAAGGAAAGAGACAACTAGGAAGACCTAAATGTAGGTAGGAAGATAATGTTAATATGGATATCATAAAAGATAGGATGGCGTGGTATGGCTGAGGATAGGGACCAATGGAGGGCTCTTTTAAACACGGTAATGGACTTCCGGGTTCTATAAAATGTTGTGAAGTCCTTGAGTAACTGCGAAACTGACGACTTTTCAAGAAGGGCTCAGCTCCAAGGAGTTGGCAATGGGTCTCTTGCCTGAAGTTTGTCCGCATGTTTCAGTTACACTCTGCAAGAGTATAGCTAAATTCCTTATTAAATCTGTGTAATACACAAACAAGGGGCCAGACCGTGACTCATTTTCCAAGTAACTGTCAGTTTGCATCTTGCAGAAGGCATCAAGAATTGACTGCCTCGCTTGATACCTTTCCGAAACATTTCCTTGTTGTATCATACCGTGCAGCATTCTATTGCACACGCCCTCTTCGCTTCACTGCTGCGTTAATACCACGGGTCACTTTTAGTTACGAGATCCGTGGCATCACTGACCTTATTCACGAAATACTCGCATTTAATACACTTATGGCTATTCCGTCTCTGCATCAGTTCTCTCTGTCTCTATGGCTCTACAGCCCTTTGGACCTTGGCCGCTTTTTCAGTTTCTTAATCCTATAGTACACAGTCGGTAGGATCCCTTGAATGGGGATCTGCCGTCGCAAGGACGCACACAGACATTCATGCCTCGAGTGAGATTCGCACCTACGATTCCAGTGTTCTAGCGGGCGTAGACGGTTCGCGCATTAGACCGCGCGGCCACTGTGAATGGCCACCAGCATCAATTGCAGAATCTTAATTATTCTGAAAAGCGGGATTACGTCGTTACGTTTAGACTGACTTCCTTTCTTTCTTCCTGGTTTTTACTCTCTCTCCCAATTTTTTCCCCTTGGCACTACAGCCCCAGTGGGCCTAGGCCTACCTCCATGAACTTCTCCGTTCACTTCGGTTTTTCTAGATCTTACACATTTGGTAGGACTCCTTGGGCGGGTGATCAGCTCGTCTCAAGGCCTCTACCTGTACACAAACACAGAAAAACACACACAAACTAAACATCCATGTCCTGAGCGGGATTCGAACCCACGATCCCGGTTTCCAAGCGAGCGAAGACAGTACATGCCTTAGACCGCTCGACTACCGTGACCGGCCGCTCTCCCAATTAGGAGCATTAAAAGGAATCAGCATGATACGGGGTAGCGTTAAAGGTGATGAACTGCACCCATATGCTCCTTACATAAAGTCCCTGTACTCAATTAATTAAGCACTACGCCATGATGAAGTGGGTTGGGGGTACAGCTGCACCAATTTTGATCTCGGCATTATATGGAGATGAGTGGTCGGCTTCATGCTGCGGCCACGTTACCCTCTGGGAAACAGACTCCGGGACCCATTGGATAAGAGGCTGAGTAACCTCCTGGATTCGTCTGGACGCTATGGAGAAGGGGAAAACCTCTCGCCTTTACCGGGAACGGAACTCCGGCCGTCCACCTCCGCTGTTATAACGACTGAGCTATATGTAACTGAAAACAGAATGTACTGTAGAGAATTGGTCGATATGGCGGCTTCGCGGCGAAACAATCATGAAGTCGAACGCCTGTTACATGATGTTGGCGTTTTCTGTGTTGTCCTGTCTTACGATTTCTGCAGTCTGTCCAACCATAAATCGTTAACGAAAAGATACAATGAGACTGACGTCCAGCTTTGCAAGTCGTTGTTCGCGAGGAAGCTTCCGTGGCATAGAATGGTTAAATACCACGCTGTATCACACTCATATAAAGGAGTTAACAGATCACAGTGGTGCATTTGCTGGCAAATTTGTTTCTTCGGGAGGTACCATGATCGGCTTTTACCGTGTTCGCGGAGCGATGACATTTTCCGACAAAGGTAGGTTTCCGGTTTGAGTTCCGTTTCCGCAGATTTTACTGCACACTCTGCCTATAAAAGCAACAAGAACTGATACGATCTTGAGAGAGTTCATATAAAATAAAGAAACTGCATAAAGAGACTGCTTTGCCTTTCTTTAAGGATGCGAGTGAGGGGCTGAGAGGTATGACAAGTTAGTTAACACGGTTAACACTGCCTACCCGCCTCCCCTCCGCCTCTTGCTGTTGCTAAGTATAACTGTGGGCTCCCTCCCACTTTCATGTGGGGAACGAGAGTCTGTATGAGGCCTGGATGATGAAGGAAATGTTTTCACCCACTACAAACATCTGCGCAGCCGGTGTGATGTAGTGTCTGTAACAATTAGAGAAGCTTAGATGGTATCGGTTTCAACGCCTTGATTTTCTTTCATTTTTTGTTTCCGGAAAGACTGCACCATTTGTAGATTTCACAGAGACCGCAAAGTCGAAATTACCGGCACATACATAAGACAGAAGTCTGAATCCTGAGGTTCGTGAAGACCTCACACGCCATCTGTAAATTGAATATCTTTATATATGGGAAAGAGGTAACAGCTTTGTTTTTAAAGCACTGAAACTCAATATGATAAGAAGTTCTGGGAAGAAGTAACCGCTGGCTTTCCTTTGCAACGACAAGGATCGCATGAAAACACCGCGTCCAACAATTCTTCTATTGCTACTTGTGTATTAGTTGTCGCGGTTATGTTTTTACTGGGCCGTTGCCTAGCAACGATAGGAGGGATACACACACTCTGATGGGCGTTGAGATGGGCTCAGGTGCCATGACATACATAACAATTTATTCCTTGTTAGTTATTATCCGTCTTACATGCAACTTGCTTTTTAAAAGTTATAAAATTTAAAATTTCTTCTACATCCACTGGTGTATGCACACATGTTTCGACGCAACATTGGTCATTTTCAGGCGTCTCTAAAACTGCTGATGAAACTGCTGTTAAGTTCAAGTTCTGGAGTATGAACATTCATAACAACTGCACACGACACAATATGAGGAACTGCCCACCAGCGCATGACACATGGACGCACAGACGAGGGCATATCCCAAAAATTGCACTTATGGGCGGAAGCACAGCAGTCTCGTCAGCAATATTAGAGACATCTGAAGATGAGCAATGTTGGTCGAAACACGTAGTGATGTAGAGGAGATTTTAACGTTTAAAACATTTAAAGGTTTTAAAAAGCAAGTTGCACGCAAGATGGCTAATAACTAACGAGGAATGACAAGGGATGTGCAACAAGATACTACGATACATTACACATACAAAGTGTCATAAAGACAGGTTCAGGCATTCACAAACACACAGACAGCATGGTGATCTCATAAGCCTACTTCCATTTTTAAAAACAGGGAAAGTAAGCTAAAAATGATTATGAAGAGTACGAATTCTAGGTTGTAACGCCACATAGTTCGGAAATCGAAGTTTCGAAGGAACATACCGTCTCCATCTTCAGTGT